CAATAAAATCTGATTTAATAAGGGATTGTTTTGCGAGAAATGAATAATCACGATTTTTTTGTTAGATCTCAATCAATTTCTCTAGAATAAAAATAAATAGAAAAATTTATTTTGTTGAATGATTTGACATTGAGCTTATATCAAAATATCCTTACTATACACGACAGTATTAACGATGACGATAATCCAAACATAATAAATGATGATCTATATTCATTAGAACCATTTCTTTACTTACTATCTGACGTTGAAGGAAGTGGAACTACAAGTAAATCTCATTTTTTAACCGTTAAAGTACTTATATAAGAATTTCAGATACAACGTCCACAACCACGACTACTTCCATAAGCACAAGTACTTCCACACCCACACCCACACCCTAATTAATAGTTGTGTATACATTGATCGCTGGAAAACTTTTCAATACTGATTGTAATGCATCATTGACATATGTAGTTTTGTTTGAAAGATACATCACTATATATGATTTATTGTTCAATGTGACAACAGAAAACCTTGAATCACTATGTTCTCCAAAGTCTTCTGAATCGACTTCGTAGATTAAAAACACACTTGGACTTAATATATGTGGAGCAAATGCGACATTTTGAAGAGTATCATCGTTCATAACCGTTTTTATAAGACATAATCATAAGAAAAAGTATATTGTATTTAAATACATTATCGAGATACTTGACTATGATTTAATGCGTAGTATTAGAATACTTTTGTACGTTAAAATCTAGATAGAAACAAATACAAAGAATACATGTGTTTTTTCTCTCTTATATGATAATGATCAATAATAAAAGAACAAACCCGTTAGTCGGCATGATCACCTGAGTATAATAAACTGAAATAACTATTTATGAAATTATCGCCTTTTGTACTTCGACATACTGTGAACTGGTTTTGCACTTTGCGATACAGTTTTCTACACGGTGTTCTATTTACGCCTTAGTATTGCATTTTTTATTAGTTCTAATAAAATCTGTATGTGACATATTGTTTATTATAATTGAAAACAAAACATATATAAAAAAAAAGATAATATTATTTTTCTTTCAGAAATAGTTTCTAACTTAATTTTATTTTTTTTAATAATTAGGTTTGATTCATAGCAGCAAGATTAATTTGATTGTTTTCTGCTCGCATTGCCATTATATTTTTTCCACAAATCTTGTAAACTAATCTTTTGAAATCTTGTCGAAAAGCTTTTGATAAGCTTATAAATACAAAGAAATTGGCACAATAAGGAATATTATAAAGGAAACTAAAAACATTTCCAACAAAAGTTTCAACTGCTGTTTGTAATGGTGTTCGAATTTGTTCTCTTGTAATTGCTGCATAGAAATAATAACCATTAATTAACAAAGCGAAGATCATAAAAACAATTCCTTCAGCAAATAAACAACGTAGTAATTGAAAATCTCTTTTTGTCATTGTTCGAAGTTCTTTTTGTTGTTGACGTGGAATTAATCGAATATGATGAACATTTTTAAATGAAAATATTGATAAAATAAGTAGAACTATAACATAAAGAGTATGAATACTCGATAAAAAGAAATAAACAAAATCCAGGTATAAGTTTGTAGGTTCATAAGAACAAAGATAAAATGAAGGACTAAATTGATAAATATTAACTTTAATAAGTAAATGAATATTAAAAAGAATCCAAAAACATGTACATATACTGATCATGAAATAAGCCAAACGTTTTGAACTATATAAACGTGTATCAACGTTTTGTGAAGAAATTAATAAACGATCAATTGATGCAAGAATAAGAATAGAAGGTGAACCGGTTGCAAAAATAAAAGTAACATAAATATAAATCTTACATAAAACAACATTATTATTTTGAATTGTTATATTGTAACCATGAGTAAATATTGCTGAAAGCATTGTTGAATTTAAAAAACATAAATTAAAAATAATATAAATGAGAAAATAAAATACGCAAACATTTTTTCGCCAGATTTTTTTCGAGAACATAAAAATACTTGCAAAGTTTCCCAGATTTCCCACTATATATAATAATGGAGACATATATTTAAAAAGAAAAGTCGCTATATTATTAAGTTGAACAATAATATTGCTATCGGATGAGTTCATCTTCGCTTATTAACTACAAAGTAATACTTTTTATACTCTTTATATATTGTTCAATCTCAGATAATTAAAACGATGTGAAAAACATTTACTAAGATTGACAGAAGATTAATAAGATAATCAAAAGCAGACTGTTTAAGTAGATAAACTGAGAATTTATTATGGGTTATCTAGTATAAGTTATAATGAACTACGGAATTTTATAAATAACATTTAATTGGATCTAACCTAGAGACAAGAACTTTACTTTTCTTTTATGTTCTTAAGATGTCCTGACAACGTCTTGAACACGGGGCTGAATGTATAAGTATAAGAAACTGAATTTTATAGAATACTGAATGATGTATTTTTATTCAAAAATATATGAATAAATATCTAGAAGTATTTCAAAATATGTTAATGACGAAAACGATCGGAAATACAAAGTTTGACATTATATTCACTGCATTCGTATCTGGAGACAGCTATTTTTTTTATTCTACTTGTTGATAGTAATATAATAGAAATACCACATTTAGCTATAGAATAAAAGAAGATGAATGACAACACAATAAAAATAATTGCATTATGAAAGTGTTCTTGGAGATTTAGTTCTGTCACATACTGGTTAAGTCAGAATCGAAGCACACTTATGTACATCTCCTTCCCAAATGGTTATTAATCGTGTTTTTATGTAAGTATTAAATTACTATTGACTAGTGACGTTGCTTAGGATATGGGTGTAAGCGCGAATCTTCTTCAATCTCTTCAACATCCGTGTTCTCAAGATGGCTAAGACGATGAGTAAGAATAAACTCAATATCTTAAATTAATATTATTTCTTTTGATTCAATAAATAAAATTTTAGCAAGTATTTCTAATCTAAACTATATTTTATGTAACAAATTCAAATATACATATTTACAAAAGTTGATTCACTGTTTATTCCCATATCAAATATCTAATTATCAGCAAATAAATGAAACAAATTATCGAACACCTACTCAGATCATTATTGATCAAATAGTATAATATGTCATGAGTTCATTGATTGTCAATTCGGATTTTGAGAAGTTATACAAGTATGATACAATATTCCTTCTATATATTATTTTCTCAAATGTATCGATCAAATAGATAGAAGATTCAGGTTGAACAATTCATCTCAAGTGAATACTTTTGGAAGTGACTATGTACACTCAGATAGGTATAATGCATTCATAAATAAATATAAAGTTATTTTATTAATTTTCTATTGCACTCAATTAAAGCGTAAACAAAACGATGGCTGAGAATTATGATATGTTAACGCTGTTCTTCTTTCTCAGTTAGCTTAGAAGATGAAAGGCTAGTACCAGCAAGATCATTCTCTTGCTGAAAACTATAGTATTGCAAAGATTTATATTTTGAAACATTTCTTGATTGATCTGCCGACATATACTCATACTTTCTTTCAAAAATGATCAAAGTCTATTTTTAACAGTTTTTTAGACGGTAAAAAATGAAGTTAATTTTTTCATATTTACTTATTAATTCATTACATCTATTTGAGTGCACTTGTATGCTGAGAGTCTCTTTCATTTTAAATGTCATCATTTCGATCTTTGTATAATGACTTGTTTTTTTATAGAATAGTCATTAGCTGATTCAATATTCACGTATATTATGCAAATATATTAGAATCATGTTTTTTGGATCTCATTTTTATGATCATAACTATTAATATCTAATTTCAGTTTAAATAAAACATTTAGTTTAGTAAAAAGTAAATTATTAGAAATAAAATCATATTTTTCAAAACAAGTTTTTTAACATGTTGTTGTAGATCGAAACATATAGAGTCAATATACATATGTTGCAATGACGAAATTAAGCGAGTTTATAACAATACTTAAAAGGAAAGAAGTGAAAATCTATGTCGATAGTATTGATAACTACTTAATTTTCACGTATGTGATCTTAATGAAACAATAACAAGTTGTGTTCTCATCTACTTGTATCGATTTAGAATCGAAACATGACTAATATATTTCTTGAGAGATATTGCAATATTCTTTTTTTTGTATTTTAATAAAAAGTGTTGCTCTGGCAGACTAGTGTTACCACCAGTCCACACAA